CGGGAAAGTGCCTGTGCCATTGTGATGACGCTGCGCAGGCCGTGCCACACATGCATATTACAAACTCGTTACAGGCTCGTTTCCACGCATGCTGCTCCCTCCCCACACAACCTCCTTCTGAGGCTCTGAGCGCGTCTCCCCCACCACGGCTGCAGCGCCTGGCCCTATGGAGACATTTCTGTGACAAGCCAGCCACGGTGTCCCCTGGGTGAGGGGTACGGCGCAGCAGGTCCCGGCGCCTGGGCGCTGTCCGTGGGAATGGAGCCGTGCCTGGTGATGGAGCTGCTGTTCAGGCGTCCTGGCCTTCACCTGTGGTCACCTTCTGAGCAGCCCTTGGACTTGTGTCACTGCAGCTTCCTGACCCTGAAGGCCCAGGCTTCCAGCTGGGGTGCTCTGGGCACTGCTGAGGAGTTGTGCCTGCTGTCCTCGGCTGGCTCTGAAGCTGAGGACAAGCCTGTGCTCCTGAATGTCCATGGCAGAGGCACGGCTGGAGGGACTAGGTGTGAGGGAGCTGATGGAGCTGCAGCAGCCTCAGCAGTGCTGCTGTGGGTGCTGGTTAGTGGCTGGCTGGCAGAGCGGCCTTGCTGCTCTTTCTGTTTCTCTCTGACTGCTGTGTGGGCACCCTCTGTGCCCCCTCAAGCCATGCAGGATGGAAATCCTGTGTGGGAGGTCAAGGCAGTGTTCAGTCCTTATCCTCTTCCTCCTGATCATGTTCAGGCCTCCTAGCCAGGCTCTCCCAGCTGTGGTTTTTCTCAGTGCTGCCTTGTGACCAAACACTAGTGGGGTGAGGATGAAAGCTCCAGGTGCACTTAAAGACATGTTGTATTCTGACATTTGTCTCTTTCTCAGTGACCCAGCTGGCTGCTCTTCTGGCTAGATGGCTCTGACACCCTTCTCTCTGCCTGCAGTTGAGGACCCTCAGTGCCCTCCATGTCCCTGTGGACTTTTCTACTTGGCACCTGTGGGTGCTGGGCTTGGAGATGCTAAAGGAGGCTGCTTGTGGTTTGTGGGTTTGGTGGTTTTTGTTGCTTTTTCCTTTCTTTGTGGGTTTGGTGGTTTTTGTTGCTTTTCCCTTTCTTTGTGGGTTTTTTTGTTTGTAGTTTTGGGTTGATTGGTTTGCTTGAAGTGGTTTGAGGGATTTTTTTGTTGTTAGCCATGGGAATGGGAGAAAACATCCAGGGTAACTGGTGCAGGCCAAGGTGTGTGAAATGCTGAGTGTGAACACGCTGCCTGCCTCAGCCAGCATGAAGGGGTAATGGGTGGGGGACACTGCAGCCAGGGCACTCCTCCCAGGGACCTTCCCTGGATGGCCTTGGGTGCAGGAACAGTGCTCAGTGCCAGGGGCTAGTTTGGGATTCTTTTCCCAAGCCCATAGCTGGGTGAAAATGACGGCATTGGTTCCAGGAACAGCACAAGTTGTAAAGAGAGGTTGGAGGGGAACTAAGAGTTCTTAGTTTGTCCTTTTCCTCATCTCTCAGGGGATCCAGACTTCCTGTACCCAAAGTTCCCCAAGTCAGGGCTGTTGCTCTGAGCCCCTTGCCTGGCTGGAGGAGACTCTGAAGCTCGAATGTGGATCCAGAGTGGAGCTGGAGACACAGCCACTGGACCCCTCAGGAGAGCAATGTGCCCCAGCCCAGCACCAGGGGGATGCTGCACGTGCTCACTGGCACAGAGCAGCCGTGCTGTGGCAATGGGAATGTTTGCCATGATCCCAGTCCTGGGGCTGGTTCGTGGACCCTCTTCAGCTTCAAGGTTCTTACATAACACTTTGCTCTGGGCTGGAAACAGCTGCCAAAAGGAACACAAGCAAACTCCGGTTGCCTGTTTGACCAGCACCTCCAGCCCCACCACAAAGAATTTGATGTCAGTTTGGGGCCAATGTGACAGTGTTGTACAAGCTGTTTCTCTCAGGGCTCACCTCTCTGCCCTTCTGTATCCTGCAGCCCTGTGGGCAGCCTTGCTGCCCCCGGGAAGGGGCTGATTGCCAGAGCAGTGTGTGGTGCTTGTGAGGGTCTTTTGGTCCCTGTGAGCTGCCTGTGGGGAAGAGCTCTGTCCTTAGTCCTTTATGACTTCTCACCCTGAGTCTGATCCAGGCCTTTCCCAAGCTCCCCCTCACCACCCACCTCCCTGCCGTGGTTGTCCCCACCTTGCTCTCCTCTTTCTCACTGGGAGCACTGTGTGGAGCTGGGGCTCTTTGCAGAGCCAACAAGCACAAAGAGAGCATTCCCTGGCTGCCTGCCACCCTCTCTTGTGCCTAGTCCGTGCTGGTGATTGCACCTAGCAGCTGAAAATAAGCTCTGGGAAGAAGGGGAGGTGGTGATGAGGAGCTGCCAAGCCAGGCTATTTATACTGGGTGATTCAGGCCTCTGCCTGAGTCCAGCCAGATGCAGGGGAGCTGGAACCCAGGAGCAACCTGCAAAGGACAAACCCTTGAATGAGAGTGTGTTTGCTGTAATATCTCATTTACTGTGTGGCTCGGACTTGTCTGGCTAGCCACCTGTGATGGACTGCACCTCCCCTCTCCGCGCTGCCCCTCAGCGTTCGCTGCAGCCCGCGCCGTGGAAGGATTCTTGCGGTGTGAGGTCCCACCACAGCGAGCACAGCCTGAGCCCAGAGGGCTGGGGACACCAGCACAGCCGCCTGGAGCCACTGCAGTGCCAGGACCTGCTACTGCAGAATGCACTCTTCACTGGAGACCTGGACATGGTGCAGAAGTACTTCACCAAGGGCGCAGCCGTCAATCTCATCATTGAGACCAGGGGCGACGTGCTGCGCTGGACCAGCAGCAAACGTGGTGGGTATGAGGGACTGGAACATGGGGAATAGAAAATGCCCAGGATGGGGTCCAAGGATAGGGCTCAGGCACCTGAGAGAAATATTGAAAGGAATCCCCAGTGGTGAAGAAGGACTTGAGAAGAACAGCTTTAGTGTGAGGAAGGAACTTTCCAAGGCTGTACAACAAGACAGGCTTAGAAGAACAGCTTTAGTGTGAGGAAGGAACTTTCCAAGGCTGTACAACAAGAAGTAGCAGGCTGGTTGAAGGTGGCATGAGGCAGATCTACTGGGAAATAGTGAGAATAGGACCCCTGGAAGAGTTGCTGGAGAAGCACATGCTCAGGATTGTCCTGTTAGAGATTATTGGGATGGATGTGAAATACATGTGGGGAGTGTGCACGGGTGGAGAGGCATCGGAATGCTGCTCTGTTCCATGACACAGATTTGACAAGGGGAGCAGAAATCCAGTGTATGAGAAAGATGGTGGAAGCAAACTTTCCTCAGTGACAGGTGGTAGGAGCTGATCATTCTTGGTGCTTCTTTCTGTCTGTACATCTCACTTCTCCATCTCTGCCTTGTCCAGGCACATCCTGGGGCTACCACACATGCTTCCACGCTCTCTGGTCCCTTTTGCTTAGCTTCTCATCAGCATTGTCCATAAGCTGCTCAGTAAGCAGTGCAGCTGGTGTGTTTGAGGCAGGGTGTGCTGGGCAGCCTGGATGTGCCCTTGTTCTTCTGCTGTCAAGTAGTGACATGGTACAGGCAGACTCCAGAATTTAAGAACATCAAGTAGGGAAGGCCTTAAGCTGTATTTGTCTTGGTTTAGGGCAAATTTGGGAAAGAGCCTCCTCAACAGAAGGCTGGTGGCAAAAGCCACCCATCTGAGAATGGAAGAGCTGTTGATGAAGCTGCTTTCCCAGAGGAGCAGGCCAAATGTCCTGGTGCTTAGACAGCAATTTGTGGGGATCCACTCCAGCAAGAGACACGTAGGGTGCGTGGGCTTGCCAAAGCACATGCTGCTACTTATGAGGGGTGAAGATTATTCACTGAGTTGTAAGATTTGTAAGACCCAGGTTTTGAATTGTTACAGTCTACTTAGGAACGAAATCACTAAAGGCATTGCCTTTCATGTAAGAGAGATAATTTGTCAGTAAAATACAGATTGGGTGTGGCAAGTCCTGTCTTGTGCCAGGCTGGCAGACGCTGGAGCAGCCAGTCTCTCTGCTGGTAAGGGATTGTGCCCCAGAGAAAATGGAACAATGTAAAACAACCTTATGTAGAAATTTCTATAATCAACAAAGTTTCAAGCCATGAAAAACCCAACCAAACAAAATCATTCATCAAGCACAAAGCAAAAATGTGCTGCCAAATTTTGTCAGATAAGAATAGAGAACAAAAACCAAAACAAACCTTCATGCTACCTGAGGCTTGTCTCTGTATCTCACTGACCATGTAGGGACAGGTTCCTAGAACTCAGTGACCTTAACAGTAGGTTCTAGTGACCTTGTCTTTCCCAGATCACCTCGCTGGTATTTTAAGGTGCCCAGAGGAAGTGTAAACTGTCTGGTGTCACTGATATTTACACCACTTCCTGCCTCCCTGGTGCCTGGCTGGGAACCTCAGGCTCCCACGGGATACCTGCTTATATCCTTGGGTAAACAGAGGGTCCCATCAGGTGAGAACGTCTGCCAGGGACTTCCCTTCCTTTACCTTTTCGTAGGCTACATTTTAGTCAGACAAGGTGAAGTTTGCACACACAGAGCAAACTGGATGCTGTCAGCATAGAACTTGCTCATTTATTTTCATTACTGAGAAGGGTTAAGTTCCCTGTCTTACACTCTGCTCTGGTCCTCTGGTAATTGTTGCTTGGTGGTCAGTTGGGGTCACTTAGCTGGTGTTTAGCTGCGTGATCTGAGCAGCTCCATGACACAAAATTAAAGGGGGCTCTACCAGCCTGCCGTGCAGTTTGACATGTTCTCCAGATCACACGGTGTGAACAATGTGTGCACGGTGCTAGTGCCACGTGAGCAGGGCATGCTCCTCTGTGACCGAGGTGGGAGGGCTGCCTGCATCAGCCAAGTGGGGGCAGAGGAAAACACCAGCTCAGGTGACAGCACTGCAGTGAGCAGCCAAGTCAGGGGAGTCTCTGAGCGCTGAAAGGGAGCACTAGAGCTAGGCAGGGGCTCTGTGCAAGGCAGATAGCAAGAAAAAGGAGGAAGTGGGGAGGGTCTAAAGCATAATTACCTCCAATTTTTCCCATCTTTGTGCCTGTTTCTACCATTTATTTGGCTTTGATTAAAAATAGCTGTCTTGTAGCTTGTTTAAAAATCTTCCTAGTGGCAATGGCTCAGGTGCAACTGGTAGATGGATGTGCAGTGCTGGAGACGTGTGTGGAGCCAAGGGGTGAACAAAGGCATGGAGAGGTGTGTGGAGCTGCTGGGATCATGCTGTTGTGGTCTGGGCAGCACTGGGCAATACGCTGAGTAAGCATGAAACCATTTCTCTCTCTGTTGTCTTAGTGATGTCCCATCCACATTTCTACCCTTCAAGCTCCCCTGCCCTTCCTGAAGGTTTTCCCTTCACAGCAGGGCACTGCTGAGGTACTGCTGCCTGAGTGGAGAGCCTTTATCAGCCTCTTGGCCCCAGCATTTGGTCACAAGGTTTCCCGGAATAGAACAGCTGAGACTTGAGCTGTGCCCAGCCTGAGCCAAAGCGAGGGGTGTGATGTGTTCCCCCTCCCTGTGGAACGCCCTGGGCTGGCAGGCAGGCAGACTCTCGGCCCAAACACAGGCTGCTGGTGGGGCTGTGCCTCAGAGCCTGGCTGGGGTGCACCAGCAGGTCCTGTCCTGGTCTCTGAGGAGAGCCTGGTTGGGTGTTATGGGCAGCATCACGGGTGGAGGAGACGAGAGCCAGGAGCCCATCCGCACACAGCAGGCACACGGCCCTGCCCAGGTGTTCTGGCAGGCCCTGCTGGCTGGGGACCAGGGCACTGTAGCCAAGATCCTCAGTGATCCTGAGAACAACCTGAGCCCCAGTGCTGTGTTTGACACCAGTGACCTGGAAGAGTGGAAGAACTACCGCTTCAACCCCCGCGGGCTGAGTATGGGGAGCAGTGGGGCTCAACCTGTGCTGTGTGCTGTGGGGCTCAGCCCGTGCTGTGTGCTGTGGGGCACGGCTGCTGTGGGGCTCAGCCCATGCTGCAGGGCACAGCTGATGTGGGGCTCAGCCCTGTGCTGTGTGCTGTGGGGCTCAGCCTGCGCTGGGGGGCTCAGCCCTGTGCTGTGTGCTGTGGGGCTCAGCCCGAGCCCTGTGCTGTGGGGCTCAGCCCGTGCTGTGGGGCTCAGCCCATGCTGTGGGGTTCTGTGTTATGAGTGCTCCTTGGCTTGCAGAGTGGTGGGAACGGCAACAAGAGCATGGGGATGTGGTCAGGTTCTCCTGTGTTCCTTGTGGGAAGGGGTTCCTATTTCTGAGAGCACAGGGCGCATGCAGGAAACCTGGTCCCTCCCATAGGGATTGTTTAAGTGCTTGGGAGCAGCTCTGTGTGCAGCCTGCTCTGCGCTGTGGGCTCCCACTGCGGGTTGTGCCAGGCTGTCACAACATGAGTTAGGTCTTTGAGACAGTGCAGGTTGAACCTGGCCCTGGGAAACACAGATGACATACTGCCTCTGCAAGAAGGAGCTGAGAGGATGTAGTGGGGAACACACCATGCAGTCTGGGATGTCCTCCAGCTCAGTCTGGTTAGGCAGCAAGAGGCACAGTTTAAGGAGTTTTTTCCTGTAGCATCTGCAGGCTGTTAGCCAGCAGAAAGCACCAGCTCAGCGGTGGTTTGTGCTGGGTCAGCATCTTTGGGAGCTGGCACATTTCAGCCCCTTGCTCTCTCCTAGGTTCTAGATGTCCAGCTCTGCTGTAGCTTGTTTGCAACCTGCTCAGGGCTTGTTTGAGTTCCCTGTGTGTGTGGCAGCTGGCTCTGACACCTCTCTACTGCCTGGTTCCTCATGTTTGTGGTGCTACACACATGGTGTTTGGCCCAGCCACCTCACTGCCATCAGCCCTGCTCATGCACCAGACCCTTCATGTGCTGCATCCCTGACAAGAGAAACCCCTGTACCCCCTGAGCCACAGGTGAGGGGCACGCTGCCCAGAACAGCTTCTGCTGCGGGCTGCTGCTCCCTGGAGCTCCCTGTCTGCACGGCTCTGCGGCCTGAGAGCCTTCCAGGGATCTCTGCATTTGCGGCCAGCCCAGATGCAGGGATCTTGCAGGGAAAGGACCTGATGTCCCTTGAGGGGAAACACACGTCTGTCAGGGGGCCCTACCTCAGGTACTTCAAGGAAAAGGGCAGGTGTTCGTGCACCGCGGCTGGATGCGGCTCCCTGACCCCTCTTCCCCTGCAGGACTGTGGTCGCTGAGCTACGAGCAGGAGCTGACCACGCCGCTGCACATCACGGCGGGCCGGGGCTACACGGCCTGCGTGCGGCTGCTGCTGCTCCGCGGCGCGGCCGTGGACCTGGCGCCGGGGGGCAGGACCGCGCTGCACGAGGCGTGCGCGGCCGCCCGCGCCGGCTGCGTGCGCCTGCTGCTCGGCGCCGGAGCCGACCCCGAGGCTGTCTCCGAGGATGGCTGCCGGCCGCTGCACCTCTGCAAGAGCTCCGACTCCATCGAGTGAGTCCTGCCTGCGGGAGCGCCGCCAGCCTCCCTCCGGCTCAAGCCTAATCCCGTGTAGGAGGGGTCCCTCCTCCCCCCTGGAGGTGGGTTGGTGCCTGCGGAATGGGGCTGCTCCTGGACCGGGATCAGCTCTGAGGTCCAGCAGGTGACTGCAAGCTCGTGTCCTTAGCAGATGCAGCTGAGGAGCCAGTGGTCTCGCTGTAATGTTCAGGGCGTTCCTGTGCAGATCCACTGTGCTTGTGAGCAGGCACCGGGTGTGGCAACACTTAAGAGGTCTGTGCAGAGTTAGCTTAAATTAGGGTGACAGCATCTCTGCTCCCCAGTCATGCTGGCTTAAAAACTCTGCTCCAGGGCATGAGGAGCAGGTATTTTTGGACTCTGGGGAAAAGCTGGGGTGGTACAGATGTGGGAGCTGGGAGGTAGGATGGGAGATGGACATGAGGAATGGTCAGCAAGTCGCCTCGGCCCACACAGGTGTGTCCGGCAGCTGCTGCAGCATGGTGCCAGTGTGAACAGTCAGACGGAGGAGGAGATGGACACAGCACTGCATGTGGCATCACGGCACGGCCTGGCAGAGCATGTCCAGCTGCTTCTGCACCACGGGGCTGAATTGGAGGTGAGGAACAAGGAGGGGCAAACACCGCTGAATGCTGCCTGTGCTCAGCCCCATCAGCCCCAGGACATGGACCGCTACTACCGGGTCTGCCAGCTGCTGGTGCAGAGCGGTGCCAGGATCAACGCCGAGGACCGGGACCGGCAGCACCCGCTGCACCTGGCCTGCAAGAATGCCAACGCTCAGATCGCAGAGTTACTGCTGGCCCGGGGCGCCAATGTCAATGTCATGAACTACGGCGGCAACACGGCCCTGCACAACATCCTGCAAGTGGCTGCCTACAAGCGGGAGCATCGCCCAGAGCTGGTGGTGCGAGCGCTGCTCAACCACGGAGCCGTCCGCATCTGGCCGGGCTCCCTCCTCAAGGTGCGGGGAGTGTGTGGGAGGGGAAGGCTGTGAGCAACACCAGGGCCCCCGTGGGCCCTCCTGTCACAGCAGGGCTTGTTCCAAGGCAGCCGGGTCGCTGTCCTGCCCTGCTCTGCCCAGGGCCTGGGAAGGGAGAACTGGCGTTATTGGTACGGGAATCCCTGATGCTTTCTGCTGGGGTGTGGTTTGCTGTAGCACTCTCCTGCTTGGCTGCTAAGCTGTGTGGACAGCACTCACCCAGTTTCCATCATTACTTGCTCTGGAAATTGTTGGTCCTTTTCCTCTGGAGGTGTTTCTTCTCAGGGGCACACCCTCCAGCTCCTGCCGTCTCTGCAAGACACCCGCAGACAAAGGGTTAATTTCCTGTCTTAATTCCTGAGCACTGCAATAATTACCCAGCCCGGAGATCAGCAGATTGCTCTCCCCTTTGGGAAAATACAGGAAAATCAACAATTAACACTAATTAATCTCCTATTAACGCCAGATAATGAGGATCACTGGTACAGCCAGAATAGACTCTGACAGCTACTGCTGGCCTGGGCCATGGGGAGTGGCAGCCCGGAGCCAGGGAAATCTGCCTCAGTGCGGCTTTGCCTGGGTGGGGTGCTCTCCAAAGGCTGCACTGTTGCTAGGTACACGGCACTGGCGTGTCACCTGCACCTACACCAATGTGGGACACACCAGAGGTGTGGTACAGATATGTGTGAAGTCCTCTGCGGTTCTGTGCCACGCTTGACATGGCCACAGCACTGCTCTAGACACAGGCACAGGTGTCTCTGCAGCCATGCACCAGAGGGGCACAATCCTGCATCCCTGAGACCCCAGTGTGGCCCGCAAAAGAGGCATGGTGTGCTGTGCTCTGCCTGATCACAAAATGAATGCCAGTCCCTGCCCTGGAATGGCTCATGCTCTAACTACTGAAATGGGAGGCAAGGAGTCTGGTGTCAAGCAGAGTGTTGGTGTTTATGAGCTCCTTGCAGCAGTGAAGCTGATGGAGATCATCTCCTCAGCCATGCATGATTGTCCCTGTGTCTGAGGAGGAGCTGTGGGTTGTGCTGAAGGCAGCCAAGCTGTGCATGTTCAGTGGTGGCTCAGCCCTCCTCTGTGCAAGGAGGAAGGAGGGATGCTCTGGTGCTTCATACCTGCAGTGGTTTTTCTCTCCTGGGTCAGAATGAGGGAAGGACAGTTCACCAGATTTACTACACCTGGACTGAGCAGTACTTTAGGAGGTGACAGTGGGGCTTGCAGGATCTTGCCAAATGATGGTGATCACCTGCTCTTGATGCCTTAAGTTTTAGCTTCCATATTTTCTGGATTCTGTACTGCATTAGTATATAACTCTGAGTTTCATATAAAGTGTTAGCAAGCTCTCTTCACAGCTCAGTCACACCAACCCATCCTTTTCCAGCCCCAGAACCAAGGACACCACTCCAGCTTCAGGCCCAAAGAGTGTAAACAACCATGAATTGAGGAAAGCAAACTGGAAGGATGGGACTGCATAACCTGAAGCTGTAATTGGACAATTAACCCCAATTTGTAAATGGACCAAAAATTATAAAAATATGACAGCTGGTGACTCGGAGTCCGTCTTGGGTGTAGCCTCAGCCAGACTCTTGTACTGCCCAAGGTGTATCCGTTGAAGGCCTTTTTCATCAATCCCTACTTTATTCCTTTAGCAGAGTCCAGCCTGTGTTCCAGGTGGCCTCTGAAGGCATCTGTCTCTCCCTGGCCAGGTGCTGCGGTGCTGCCACAGCTGCCCGCGTGTCATCGAGGCGCTGGTGAACAGCTACAGCCACGTGCGCGTCTCCGAGGACTGGCTGGCAGCGGTTCCAGCAGAGGTGGTACAGGTGAGGGAGCAAACGCCAGCTGCTGCTGGAGAACACGTGCCCAGGTTCTGGTGGGCTGCCGGGGCACCAAGGCCTGGAGGGGGTTGGGTGGAGCTGGGGCTGGCCAGGGGGGTGGCAGGCACGGGATGGTGCTGCTGGGGGCAGGGAGGATGCTCCAGAGTGAGGCAAGTGGGTGTCTGGTTCTACCTCTGGTCCCAGGGTGATATCTTCAGCTTTGCATGCCTCTGGTCCTTTCTTCTCTCTGTAGAAATACCCATGTTTCTACCAGTCGCTTTTCTCCCTGGGGCACAGACCTCGCTCCTTGCAGCACCTGGCTCGCTGCACACTCAGGGCCCTCCTGGAGGGCCGCCTGCTTCTGGTCCTGTCCCAGCTACATCTGCCAAGTGCCCTGCACCAGTTCCTGCTGCTCGCCTTCGAGGACGTTCTCTACTAGGGGTGGCAGCTGCAGTCCTGCTGTGCCTCTCTGTGCAGGTGCTCCACCTCTGCCAATGCGGTCTGTGCTCTTGCAGCTGCCCCCTTCCCCTCGCCCCACTCCTGCCTGGCCACATCAGCCCCCTGTGCCAAGCCTGCTGCCATGCCCCAGTCCCAAGCAGCCTTGTGCTCTGCATCATGCACCTGTTTTGGAGTGTTCTGTTTGTCCATACTAATCCAGACAGACTCCAGACTAACAAAAGGAGCTATGGGAATTAGGGAATTTTGTGGTACAAGGAGCAAAGACACTGCATGGATCACAGGCTTAGTAGTAGAATACCAGTTTCCCTATCCCAAATCCAAATACTCTAGCCTATACGAGGCAACTCTGATGCCCTGGATGATTGCTGTGGTCCTGTCTTTGGTCAGGTTTCTTGGTCTGTACCCAAAGGTGTTTGGAATAAATCCTGTTCTTTATACCCACCTGAGCATGATTTCTTCATTTCTTTGAAGACTGTCCTGACAGAGCTCACCTGACATGCCATGGGTGGTGGCATTTGCACTCAGAGCTGTGCACCCACCTGTTTTTCAGCAGGAAATGTGTGGTGGGTGTTCCAATAAAACCCCTTCCGTGAAGGTACAATGTCTGGGTTACCTGGCTCAGGAGCTTGAGGCAGGCTGGCCGTGCTTGTGCAGCACTGAGGACCTCGCTGCTGGTGAGAAGGAATGTGTCCTGGGACTGCTGCTCCCCTGGGCACAGAGCAGCCAGCAGCAGAGCACTGTGCAGGGTCCCACTGCAGCCTGGGCTGCACCACAGCCTTGGCAGGGTGAGGGGAAAGGTTTTACCCTGCAACAAAAGACACACGATGAAAAAGAAGCATTATCCATCCTTTGAAGATCTGCTCTAAGCAAGCTCCATTACTGCCTCTGAGCACCACAGCTGTGGCACAGGTATCCAGGGCAGAGGGTGCCTCCTCTTGCTGCACTCGTGGTGCCTCTCTCCATGGGCACAGTGGGACCCTGCAACACGCAGCTCTGAAGGAAAGGCTGTGTGACAGACGCAGTGGTGCTCCCTGTTCTGCCTCCCCGGGCACACGGGCTGTGGCTCTGAGCCCTCAGCCCTGCTGCTCTGAGGACGTGAGCCCAAAACCACGCTGAGAGGTTGATGGTGCTGCTCCTGATCGTGCACTGCTGATGTGCCACAGCAGGGATGCTAACAGGGTACAGGAGGGATGTGTTCATGTGCTACCGGTGCCCACAAGGTGCCTGGAAAGCACTTGTGCCTGCCTTTAAGTAGGTGCTATTGCAGCATAGAGATGGTATATCAGGATATGTGCTTTATGACATCCAGGGGCAGAGAGGTGAGGTGTTGGCTTGGGTGGTCAACAACAATCTGCAAAACTGGGATGAAGTGTACAGGGGAGCCAAAGTTTTTAAAATACATGGATGATGGCCTGCCCTCTCCCCACAGAGCAGTGGTGCATTTCCCTTGCACCAGTGAAGGAATGGAGTCTGAAATTGCCTCCTTCCTGTTGGCTGAACGGGCTTGTCTGCTCAGGTCATCTGTTTATGTGACCAGGGCCAGTGGTCTTGCTCCCAAAGTCTAATCACCGCTTTAAAGGGTTCATTTTTAGCCAGGTGATGTCTGTGAGCGAAGGAGGAACAGAAACAGGAAGGTCTGTCCTTTGTGGTGGCAGCACAATCTGGGATTGCCTTAGCCTGACCTGATGTCCTGGTCTGAAGGCAGCGTGCAGAGCAGCACACCTGGACAGGTATACCATCCTTCTCTCCAACGTTGTCCCTATGCCTGCATTAACTTGTGCTCAGTAAAGCATGCTCAGCCATAATAATATGTCCTTAGAACAGGGAAGAGTTGAATTTCATCGTTTGCTTTATTTTGTAGTTTTACTTGCAGCTGTTGGGCTTACAGCTGTCTCCTGGGTCTCGCTGGCTGCTTTTGCCAGTTCTGAGGCTGCTCTGCACTGGCTGATGGAGGCAGCTCCAGCTCTTCCAGTGGCAAGAGGTGAACACACAGGGTCTGGTTTCTGCAAAGGCAGGAGCAGATGGAGCTCTGGCACATCCTTGTCCTTCCTAGACAAAGGTGGCCAGACGGGCACCTCCTGCAATGAGGGACCCGTGGTGGGGCTGCAGGTACATTTCAAGGGCTCCCCTCAGAGCCACCAGACTGCAGACAGAGCATCCTGTGTGCCTGGGGGGCTGAGGTCAGGTGGGTGGAGAGAGGAACAGGCCATCCCTGGCCACATGTCTTCAGAAACTGAGTTTTGTCTGTGCTCCTACCAAAACTGAAAGGGGCACGAGTTCATTATGCATAAGGATACCACTGGATAACAGTCTTCAAGGAATGTGGGGCTGGTAGGAAAAAGGGAGAACCTTTTACAGCATGACCAACGCAACTGGTGGGGAAAAAACTACACCAAATCAAACCAATCCAGCAGAAAAGCTCCTGGGAACTCCAGCCCTTTGCAAATGGAAACAATCAAAAATGTTCAAGCTAAGATGCAGGCTGAGTGTAAATGCTCTGACTTCAACTCAGTTATGCTAATTGATTAGCAATTGATTTTCAAAAACATTTACAATAACAGATTTTAAAAGATTTAGTGTTCCAGAGCACATTCTGGCAACTTAACAAACTTTGCTATTTTCTCAGGTTTCTGAAGGGGAAATTCCTAATGCAGCATTGGATGTATTTGCAGGGACAATTTTGCCAGGGAAATTTAACCTTCCTGAGTGGGAGGGCTGTGGTCTCTACTGAGAACACTGAACCTAGGGGTTGTTAGCGTAGGGACACGTGGTTCTGGTGTGTTTTTATCAGCTGCTGCAGGCACAGGCAGCTGCCAGTCACTTCTGAGTCCTGGGCTTGCTGGGAATGTCTCTTGGGCACAGGCTGGTTCTCCTGCTTCAGCATCCACCTGGGTTTGTCAGCAGAACAGTCACGGCAAGGTGCACCCTTAGGAGTGGCTGGAGAGATGTGAGTCCACTGTTGCATTTTCAGTGCAGCCATTCAAGTGATGTGCTCGGAGAAAGAGTCATCCCAGCTCCAGACAGAAGTTTCCATCCCAGCTGCAGCCACTGGCTCCTGCTTTGACCCTCCCCGTGCAGCCAAAGCCCTGCCCATCCCTGGTATTCCTTCTGACAGACAACCAGCACACTCTGCAGGCTTCCCAGCCTCAAGCACCTGCTTGACTCTCGCTCAGTTTTTCCTGTTCCTCAGTAAAGAGCAGGAGAGGCCATAATGGGGGTTAGCAGTGAGGTACTTACAGGAAAAGCAAGCAGAGAAAAGCTCTTTCCCAGCATGTCTGTACCCACCCTGAGTTGTAGCCTGCTTCTTTGGTAGTTTTGAGTCAAAAAGGCATCTTTGTAATTTTTTGTTGTGGAGATATTTTTTTTTCTGCCATAAATTTGACCAGTTGCTTTTTGGACCTGTGAATATTTGAGCATTCTGATGCCCTTGTGGGAAGGAGAGAAGAATTGCACAGTGCATTGATCACCTTGCTCTCTTTATCTTTCTGCTGTCATGTTTCATTTGATGCCACGTAAGAACATACAGGCAACGATGTTCTGTTTCTCTCCATCATATAATTTAAAACCACACAGATCTATGCTATTTCTCCACTTATTTGGCTGGAATTGTGTTCAGCTGTGCTGTTCATGTGTGGAAGCAGTCACCCAGCCCTGACTGCACACACAGGGTTTCCCTGGGCTTTTCCTGTTGCAGTGCATCCCTTGGGATGGAGGGAGGGCAGCTGTGCACAGTGCTGTGGTTGTGTGAGGGCTGTTCTGCTGTGCACACAAATGCTCAGGAGCCCTGGGGTTGTATTTGGTGTGATTTGCCCGTATTTGTTGTGATTTGCCTGTATTTGGTGTGATTTGCCTGTAGTTGATGGGATTTCCCCGTATTTGGTGTGATTTGCCCGTATTCGGTGTGATTTGCCTGTATTCAGTGTGATTTGCCTGTATTCGGTGTGATTTGACCGTATTAGGTGTGATTTGCCCGTATTCGGTGTGATTTGCCCGTATTCTGTGTGAGTTGCCCGTCTGTGGTGTGATTTGCCCATATTTGGTGTGATTTGCCTGTATTTGGCGTGATTTGCCCGTATGTGGTGCGATTTGCCCGTATTCTGTGTGAGTTGCCCGTGTGTGGTGTGATTTGCCCATATTTGGTGTGATTTGCCTGTATTTGGTGTGATTTGCCCGTATTTGGTGTGATTTTCCTGTATTTGGTGTGATTTGCCCGTATTCAGTGTGATTTGCCCATATTCGGTGTGATTTGCCCGTATTTGGTGCGATTTGCCCGTATTCGGTGCGATTTGCCTGTATTTGGTGCGATTTGCCCGTATTTGGTGTGATTTGCCCGTATTTGGTGCGATTTGCCCGTATTTGGTGCGATTTGCCCGTATTTGGTGTGATTTGCCTGTATTTGGTGCGATTTGCCCGTATTCGGTGTGATTTGCCCGTATTTGGTGTGATTTGCCCGTATTTGGTGTGATTTGCCCGTATTCTGTGTGATTTGCCCGTATTCTGTGTGATTTGCCCGTATTCTGTGTGATTTGCCCGTATTCTGTGTGATTTGCCTGTATTCGGTGTGATTTGCCCGTATTTGGTGCGATTTGCCCGTATTCAGTGTGATTTGCCTGTATTTTGTGTGATTTGCCCGCCGGCCCAGCCCAGGAGGAGCCCTGGGCAGCGCTGCCCCCAGCCAGCGGGCTCTGTGCTCCAGGACGGATGCTGCAGCCTCTGATGTTGCTCAGACCTGACACCCCCATGGTGCTGCCCCTGAGCTGAAGCAAAGCCCCGTTCTTGCTCACATCTTGCACCTCACACTGCAGTGTAGCCAGCCTGGCTGTTCCTCAGCCTGCTGTTTCCACCAGCCCAGATCAGGTTCTCTTGAGCAAGTGCACCTGTTACTTTTACCATCGCAACAATTCACTTTTATCCATTCCAATAATTTTATCAGCAATTGTTTTTTATTTCTCCCTGATTGCTAGCAGCATGTAGCATTGATATGTGAAGAGAATAGAGCTAGAGATACACCTGTCAAATGGCTGTGTAAGATAAGTCTCTTCAGTCACCAAGTTCTTTTGGATCTATTAATATTGAGGACACTAACTGCAGCACACAGCTAATTTTTCATATTAGAATGCGAAACAAGAATTTCGTATGAGAATACGAAATAAGAATTAGAACTTAGTCAAATGACTTACAGATTTCTGAGCATGCCCCATCTCTCTCATTAGCTCTATCAAACTTGTAGGCTTATAAAAAGTTACATAAAATAATTTGAAAGTGCCTCCTTCAAATTACATTAAATTGGGTTCTAGTTTTTACTGACTAACCCAGGACATCCTTTGGCTGCTTGTCTGTGATTGCTTGGGAGGTATGTTGAACTAACTGCTGTGTAGTTTCTTGGATATCCATGTGAACACATTTAAATACTGACAAGACATTGGTGTTTTTCCCCCTAG